ACTGATACTCCAATGTTTATAAGCCTACAGTGTTCAAACTTTTAATTAGCTAAAGCCAAAACTACACTACCACCTTGAAAGGCTATCAAAGTTCAGTAACTGGGGCATTTTCATACTCAGAAAATTATGCTTTCTGAGCAATGTTCAGGATATTTGTAAGCCAATGTGTTCCAATAAGTTACTTATATTGGTGACAGCACTTAAATTCCACATTCAGGTCAAGACCTACTGTGCTACATGCTAGATCAGTACTACATTGAACTTATGGGCATTAATACCGTATGGTTTATTTTGTTATTGTTGAAATAACCATGAAAAAACATTAAAAATCAAAAACTAACATTTAAGGTAGCAGAGAGCAGAGCCAAAAACATCAGTTATTGGATGTAATCTTTCCCTTTGACCTAAACAAGAGAAAGCCACTTAAAAGTCATCACTGGAACAACCTGGAATTATTCACATGGTCAAAGTCTCATAGAAATGTATGTTCACGAGCCATGAACCACAGAGTACAGTCAATTCCTCCTAAATAGAACTGAGAGGCATTAAAAGTACATACTATTCTCTTAACATTCTTTCTGCAGGTAGAGTAACACCTGCAAGCACACAAATAAGGTAAGTGAATGAAAGTGGGAGGCCAGGTGGTCTCTTGGGCATCTAAAAGGAAGGAGAAACTCATATAATCTTGATTTGTCCATATCAACTCTGTATTTAGGAACACATGTGAAGGATATTTGAAAGTTCCTTTAGAAGAAAGGCCCTAATCTTAAACAAAGAGTAGAAGCAGGTGATCTGTAGGAAGAGGGAAAGACTGCAAAATAGAGATAGCTGGCTCAAGCCCACATGAATGTTTTTAAAATACTAATCACATAACGACAGACTGTGATATTGAATCACCACAAAATAGGCCTAGTTAATGTAGAGAAGAATGAATGTTTGGCAAAGATGCTAGCTGTGCACATTTCAGGTGGAAACAAGCACCTTGCCAATTGCTGCAATAATTACAATAGACAAGACTTCCATACAGATCAGCAAGACAGTTCAAGAGTTTAGTGATACCTGTATTTCTCAAGTACAGCAAAGCTCCTAGGGACTATACTTCTAAAAACATTTAGAAACCTAATTCCTACTGATAATGACATGACATAGAGACTTAAAATATGGCTGTTCACCTCCAAACTCGTCTCTGCTATTAAACTGAAGTCACAGGCTTTTATAGGCAGAAATCATGATAATTTACTTAACCTTCATGGAAGAGAACAACACTGCTAATACAGCCCTTACAATGGTTTGATCTCCATACAACAAAAAGGCTGTCACTGGGATCGACAAGTTTTGTAGTGTTTCGTTTGGTTTTTTTTTGTTTGTTTGTTTTTTTTTATTAAATTCACTTATTGATCCCTATGTGTTAAATAAAAAAAAAAAAGTCGATTAACATACCTCTTGTTGATAACTTGGATTTCAAAAATACTGAGCTCTGTTATTGACGTAGCTGCATCAGAGTATGATTCTACAATCTGAGTGCATCTTACATGCATTTTTTCCTCTCTGCCTTTGCACTTGAGAAACGAAATCAGATGCTGCAAAATAGTCCCCATGGGACAAATATGAATATTTGATTTAGACCAGAGAGCAGTTGTTCACATAATTAGTTACCCTGAAAATCAATAGTGAGAATTTCAGAAAAATAAGAACTGCCAGATTGGATTAGGACACACTCCTACCCTCTTTCTGAAGGTGGGCAGATGCTACAGAGGGAAGCACAAGAAACCCTCAAGAAGCATCCCCCCTCCCAGCCTAAGAGGGACTAATTTGAATTCTGAATTATGAAGTTTAATATTCTCTCTGGTATTTTTCCCAACTTACTACAACTCTCGATCTTGTCACTGCTATCAATTACAAGCCCTTGAATTCCTGATCTCAAGAACAAATTATGTGTTTTCTTAAAAATTATTTCTTTTTCTAGCAGCTTTTATTTAATGGCTTTTCAGCTTCATTAACTGTCCACCTGTTTATCTCTTATGGCACAATAAGAAGAAAAAATATCCATCTGTCTGAGCAATATGGGCCAGTACTTTTCAAACTTTTGTTTCAACCTCTTTAAGGTAAGCAGCCAAAACTCTTGCGACTCTTTATAGATTGTCAGTACTTTCTCCCTACTCATCTCAGAGCCTTTTGTAATCTTTTTTGAGAGGAGATAACCAATGTTACACGGTATTTCACTAGCCTGTACCACTAAATTCTCTGAAGGCATAACAACACAGAAGTACGTTACATTATTCCAGTTCCTAAAATCTGGTTTGCAAATGCAGTCAAACAGCAGAGGTCTTCCCTGAGCTGTGTACAGTCCCAAACCATTCCCTCTCACCAGCTGATAGAACGGTGTGAAATTTTGCAGGTAATGTTAGCGTTTTCAGGAAACACGAGGCTTCTATTTGCAGTAAGTGAATGTCATTTGTTGACATTTGGGCTATTCACCTGGCTGGGTCAGGTCTCCCTAGAGTAATGATGAGTCCTTTCTCATTCTGTCCAATCCCTATCAGTTTGTGTCTTCAGCAGATTTTTACTTCTTCCTCCCCTCCTTCCATCTAATTTGTAAGTATATTAAATACTGGAGTTGGTACATAACCTTGAGGTATCCCTGTATGTTTTAAATGGTCAGCTTTTTACCACAACAAAACTAAGTCTCCAACCAAGTTTTGAGGTCATGGCAACGCTACCTCTGATCACCTCTGGTAGTTTCCCTCATGGAGTTTTGTTAAAAAGACTAGCAAAAGCTTTCTGAATGTTTCAGACAATTTACATGTATATACATGTATGTATAAAACAGTCTAAATGCAGTAATGAGAGGAATAAACTCCACTGTGAAAAAAAAACAGATCTGGCCCCACAGGTGATTTAATTACAATAAAAAGACTGTCACTGAGAGATGTCAAATCTAGATCAGACCAGATTACAGACTTAATTTTCCAGAAAGCAGGTCCATTATTAATGTACTCCATAATTATAGTGCCAACAGACCCTAAATGTCTACAAGCATGCACGGTAAGTTGACAAAAAGGATCCAGGGTGCAATCTGAACTTAATAAAAATCGTCTGTTCACAGTTCATGGGACAATTAAACCTTCTAACTGGAAAGTCACAAGGAAAGTCCATATCCCAAACCAGGGCATAAGGCCAGCTTGAAGGACTATTCAAAGAGGTTTCAAAGTATCTGTGACAAAGATGACTTCTCGCTTTTGATGATCTACCCCATTTACATGGATTCAGCTACTCAGCTGATGCAGTTCAGCACAGATCTGCTTCAGCCGTGCCATATTATACCAGCTAGAGGGATAGGTCTTTTCTTCTGCATGTTCTTCTATATTCCTAGCAACTCAGATTTTAAATTGGCAACAACTTCACATAACCTATTATTTTTAGACACACATTTATGAAACTCAGACACTTTGTATATTTACCCCCCACCATTACACCTCAAGTATGTAATTCTGTTATTCAAAATGAGTTATGAGAAAAAATATAGCTGGAATAGCAGGCTTAGGCTTGCAATCAAGTTTTTCAGACAGAGTTATAAATTTCCACAATCAAGTTATAATTGAGGAGCCAGCATGACCTTTATTGTTTCAGAAGGTTCAGACAAAGCAGCTCACTGCGACTTCAGCTGGACTATTTGTCACTCTGTCAGACAGAAGCACTAACATCCAATTCAGTCTGGCTTATGATCTGATCCTGAAAACTAACCTGAATAAGCTTTACTCCCAGGAATGGAAATCCAGGCAATGGAATTGCTCTTAGAGAAATCCCATGCTTCCTGCGAGTAAAGTAACAAACATCAGATATTTCTGTCATAAGTGCAATCAAGCAAAATAAAAGGCTCTTACAGAAAAAGTCTTAGAATATTCATCAGTAAAGTCCTATAATCAGGCAACCAGGAGTGGCTCTTCCTAGCAAAAAAAATGAACTAGTACTGTGTACTACACTTTCTTGTATCATTCTCTTCCATTATTAAGCATGTTGCCAAACAGATAATCCATGGGTAAACTTTCCAGAACATTTACACTTAATACTTAGGAAAGTGAAACATGAAAACAACCACTTTGTCAGAGCCAGTCTTCCCAGCAAAGCAATGATTTCTGTTGCAGCAGAATCCTTTTTACAACAAGAACACCGTGACGTTATAAATGAGATTAAGACAACCAAAACATTTTTGTGACTTCAGTTAATTGGTAAATTACTCTTAGAACTTGTTAATTCATGCAATTGCCATCATGGTGGTGAAAGATGGACAGGAAATATGATGTGTCACGTGCAAAAATACTAGCTGATCTATTACAATCACTCAAGGTATTGCTTTCTTTGTAAGTCACATACGTGAAGGAATACAACTAGCTCTCTCTTCATATTGATATCATAGTAAGTTTCTTCCTCAGGTGCAGGCATAGGGAAGAAGCGGTTCCGTTTGGCATAGGCAAAGGCATAACATTCAAGTGCTGTGAAAATCTGACAGACCCCCAAAACAACAGAAAGACGCGCTGGTAACAGATTACTTGTGAAAACGGCGCGGACATGAGCGCACGGGGGCTTCTGCACAGCCCTCAAAGGCACAGCAGCACCAAGTGTGCCTGCCATGCTAAGATAAATATTTGACCTATTTTCTTAACAGAATGTGACTGTCGTAATTATTGCACTACGCTCCTGCGAGGCAGCAGCTGCGTGAGGACTAGTGCAGCGCGGGCACGGAATGCTTCGCAGAGAGCAGGAGTGCTTCCACGAGGCGAGTTTTTCCCACAGGTAAAGCGATCAGACCCCCGTGCCCACAGCTATCAGCCGGTCTGGGCCGCGGGCCCCCCCCCCCCACGCAAAGCCCCGGTGCTCGTCCCCCCGCTTCGTCGCAGCCCCCCCCCCCACGCCCGGGGACTCACGTTTGTAGCTGGCGGCCCAGGGCTGGTAGCCGTAGTAGCCGGTGATGCGGAGGATCCGCTCCTCGATGGAGGTGAGCCCCACGGAAGCGCTGGTGAGGTCCTCCACGGAGCGGGACCACTTCAAGTCCTCCTTGATGGCCTCGTCCACCACCAGGTACTTCAGCTGCCGCAGCTGCGGGCTGATGTCGGACAGCCGCCGGGGGCTGACATCGGGGGAGCGCCGCATGCCGCTGGGGGCCGGGAGAGGGGCGTCAGCGGGGAGGAGTGGGGGGTGAGGGAGGCATTTAGGGGGGGGGGGGCCACTGCCCTCCCGCCGGCCCGGAGCGAAGTTGGCGGCGGGACCTCCGCCGGCAGGTGAGCGGGCCCGGCGGCCGCGGCGCCGCAAACTTTCCACGCCGCCCTCCACCGGCGCGACCCCCGGGGGCGGGCGGCGCCGCCGGCTGAGGGGAGGTGAGGTGAGGTGGGGTGGGGTGGGGTGGGGTGGGGTGTCCCCGTCCCTCCCAGCCCGCCCGCCCGGCCCCGCAGCGGTTACTCACAGGGTGGCGGCTTTGCCCCGCGCGGAGCCGTTGGGGAACTCCCGGATCCCCATGGGGAGCAGCAGCGATGGCTGGGGGGCGCCCAGACTTCACGGCGGGGCGAGCCGGCGGCGCACACCGGCCGGGAAAGAGGCAGGAAGGAAGGAAGAAGGAAGGAAGGAAGGAAGGCGCGGGGATGCAGAGGGTCCCCCGGGCTGGCGCTGGCCGCCGGCGGGAGAGGCGGGCCGGGAGGCGGCGGGACCGCCGGTGCCGCCTGCGAGGCGCTGCCGCCCGCTAACGCCGGCGGCGGGGGCCGGGCCGGGCAGGGCGCGCTCCGCGCCCCCCCCGCGCGCTGCCGCTGGCCGCCAGCAGGGGGAGCCCCGCCGCCCCGCCAACCGCCCGTGCCGCTCTGCCCCCTGGCGGGCGGGCGGCCGCGGGGCGGGGGCAGCCGGGCCCGGCGGGGGCGCGCCCGGTGCTCGCTCCCGGGGCCCCCTCCCGGCGCCGGGGCGGTGGGACCCGAGCCGCCGGGCAGGGGGGCGAGGCGGGGGCGGCCGCCCCGGAGGGAGCGCGGCTCTGGGGCTAGGGGCCGCGGTCGTTCGTGGCGGTGCGCCTCCTCGCCCGGCGCCCGTTAAGGAAGGAGCGGTGGAGCGAGGGAGCCGGGGCACGGGTGGGCTGCGCCCCCGCAGCCGTGGGGCGGTCCCCCGGCGGGAAGCGCGCACGCACCTCGCCCGAGTGGTTAAGCTTGCAGGGGCGCGTGGGCGTAGGCGCGTGCCGTGTACGTGCGCTTTATTCACAAGCGAAAAAAATTAAAATTCGGTAGTAGATACTCGGACAAAACTCGATCACCTACAAGTAGTTGAACTTAAAGAATTTTTCGCGTATGTGTCTCACAGGAGAAAAAAAAAAAATACTGAGGAGAAAAGATTGTTCCCTTTCACCACTGCACGAGCTCAATTTACCGGGAGCATTAAAACACCGAAGTGCGGAATGGGGAGGCGGGCTGTATCAGTTAGATGCAACCTCTCCCCGCCACTGAAGTTAACATTGCAGGATCACCGCACCGTTACCGCAGAAAGGGAAAGTAAAAAGGTCTCCAGCAGATGAAAACCGAACTAATTATCATCTTAAGCACGCATGCACTAAATAATGCACTAAATCTATTTTACTTCCCCTGCAACCCTTATTTCAAGCCTGTGAAAGCAGAAGGGGTTGTTGCTGAGGGGGTCAGTTCCAAAATCCAGCCCAGGTGAACAGCAGCGGTCCAGCAGCGCCCGCAGAGAGTTACAGTGCAGGCATCCGGCGCTGCCTGCCTGCAGAGTGACAGAGCTCCTGGCAAGGTCCACAAACCAATGCAAAAGGCCAATCTAGGTTAAGAGGTAGAGGAGGAAAACACAATGCTCACTAGATCTACAAATACTGATTACTGGTTTAAGTCTTGGTTAAAGCATCCAGGGCTGGAGTAGCGGTAACAACAGGCATGAATGGGATTAAACATTTCAGTAAGGCCTCCAAAGTCTGGCACTGTTCCATATGCAGAGCCCATGCTCTCTCTGGCTTTAAGTGATGGACAAGGATAGGATTTCATCTGAGAATTGCCTCCTGTAATACTGCATGTATCTAATGTCAAATTCCTCCATTATTATAGCTACAAGATTCTCAAAGTATACCAAAAATAACACAATACTGGAGCGAAAACGTAAACCTGGGCTGGCTGTGCTCTGTACAGGGCTAATTCACATTGGCATGAGAAAACAGTAGAAAGTTCTGAGTCTGAGAGCAAGCAAAGGTTCCAACAACCAAGCAAGCGACATTGTTGACGAGCCAAGTGGTGGCACCTGCTGAGCACTCGCCCACCTCTGGGCAGGGGCTGTCGCAGACTAGCAGGGGCTTGGTCAGCCCTGCTAGAAATTCTGCCTCCGTCACTGAAGTAGTTGGCTGCTCGTTTTCTGGAGCCGCTGGGAGGAGCCATGGAAGTCAGAGGCACTGCTTCACACATCTCCACTTTAATATGCCAGAACACTCTCATTCCTCTGTCCAATAGAGATTGGGTTTCTGCTGTTATAGTCTTTCCCAGCTGCTGTCATTTCAAGGTGTAGATGAAATGATGGATGAGTGTTAATACTTTCTCCTGTCAAGCAGGCAAGTGACTCTGGACAGCTTGGGTGGCATTGCTGACAAACCTGAAGTGAGCATGCATCTTGCAAGAGAGAAAAAAAAAATGCATGAGAGTGAAAATTTTAAAGTTCACTGAAATGTTTAATAAAGATGACATCTCAAAATTGTAGTGAGAGGCAATGTCAACATTGCTAGCTCTTAGGATCTTACCAAACCTGGCTGTAAGTGATGTTTCTTCTTAAAAAATATGCAGCTGCTGGAGACATGCAAGTAAAAATTCTTATGTATATTATTTTAATTATGTTTAAGCATTGTAGCTAAAACTGAGACATTATATTTTAACATCCAGAACCATATTGTAAAGTGTGGGATCCCACATGATTTGGAATTTGTAGAGTTATGGAGCTACTTAAGATACTTAATATGAGGAGAGAAAATAATGTAGTATACTAGCAATGTTACCAAAAGTAAGAAACATGTTGAAAAGAAAACATATGCTAAACAGTATATACCTATTTAGGGAATAGTGTGCAAAATGGAGCAGGATTTGACTCTGGGTTTAAGTTTGAGCCACCTAGCATTGTATGCAACATGAAGCTGGGACTACTATAAACAGCTTTTCTGAACCTCTTACTAATGCTTTACTTTAATAAAACACCTACAAACATCCAGACAGGTAGAATATAGTGTATTTTTTATTTTAATATAGGTAGAAAATAGTGTATTTTTTAAAATGGCAGAGCCCTATAGCAAAGGAACAATTAGTACTTATTCCAGAGTGTGGCAACTTATTCTGTCCTGTTAGGTATACTTTTTTTTTTTTCCAGACAACATGAAATTATATGCTTGATGGATAGTCAGCTCATAAAAGGCACAGCCAGTAAGATATATTAGATTAGCATTATGTTTTCTACTACATGATGCCATGTCAGAGGAAAATATAATTTAACCTGTATTTATTTTCCCCTCCCATCAGTACTAGCTTGCCAAAAGTTTGTCTGGGATGGAAATTTACACTTATCAAAATGCTACTGATTTAATGAGAAAGGTAAGTTAATTTTTTTATTTCTACCCCCTACCCCCAGATGAGAGTTTTACATTTTAGGATACAGTGAAAGTAGTAGCATAAGATAGCAAAGGTATTTCATCAGGCAACAAAATAATCACAACTGCAGAATCTACAGCATGAAGCTGATGTGTTCCCTCTTCTCCAGTTCATAAAAATCACCCCTAGAAACTGAGTCTTTAGAAGACAACCCAACTCCCTCCTTAAGCAAGTACTCCTCTAAATGAATCTTCCGTAGCTGATGGATGTTCCTGCTTCTTAGTATTTTTATGCTTAGCACTAAAGGCATATACCTGAGTCATTAATCAGAGGTTCCCACACCAGGGGTTTCTGGGTGTTAGACAGAAATATAATACACATGATAAAAGTCCTATACAGTATATGGAAATGCATGTACAGCAAAACTTAATTTTCTTTAGCTGGGGTCAAATTTTACATCCACAGGAATATAATGCTACTGTATATCCAAAGTGGCTCCAGCTCAATCAGTGGGACTAATTTGCGTATGCTATTCAGACTCATAAGAAGTGCAACATACTCTATTTCACACAAAATATTTTGAATCAGCAACAAAAAAAAAATAGCTAGCTAGAAACTTTCTAGTCTATACTGGATAATCTTTTCTTGCATTTGTGTTTTTAAATATTTAGTACCACTTTTAAATGGTTTAAATAAGCTTGGAGAACCAAGAAAAACTGTTAGAGCAGGCAGAGAATGGCCAAATGCAAGACTGAATAACAAGCAAAAATCAGCCCGACCACCTGCAACAAACTCACAGTCGGTCTTTCAAGTAGGAATATGGACACTGTGCTTGAGAGAGCAGTCAGATGAATTTCAGACAAGTTGCAGCACATTTTTCACGTGAGCTCCCACATTGTTCTGAGACCCCTGCAATGCACAGGGCAAAACCAAACAAGCATCAGAATTTCTGACATGACTCCTTGCAGAAAGCAACTGGGAAGTTCTGGAAATTATGCGGGAGTTGCCTCTTGTAGTCAGGAAGGGACATACAGAGTCAGTGTCCAAGTGCTTGGGAGGTATGCTGCTTTATAGAACGCTGATTTTAATCTGCTACTTTGAATAGAAATTGTTCAGTTTCTTCTTTGCCAGACACAGTGGAAAACATAAGTCTCATATTTGGAATTGAAAATAGGTGTATTTTTTGTTTCGCTACCAATTGTTAGATGAGGAGTGCAGAAAAAGTTAATTTAGGACATCTCATCATGTCTTGGTGGAATACGAGCCCTGCCATTGCCTCTCTTCCCAGTTCAAATCGAAAAAATGAAATGCAAAGATCAGGAAAATTTTAACATTTCCTTCCTCCAGCAAGAGGCCCCAAAGGGGCTGTAGGAGGTGTCAGTGACAGAAATACAGAACAGCAGACCTCTTCAGTATCACATATTTTGAGAAATGCCAGAGGCTCGAATCTCAAAGTCAATCTGTGTTCTACATAGCCTTGGTATCCCTTCGTGTTCTGCCGTTTCAAGTAATTTGTACCAGAAATAATGGGCTATGAAACAGAAGTTAAGGAAAGGCTAGATACTGGTCTTGCAAGTTTTCTGTGTTTATTTGTGTATCATTCCTAGTTTGTCCTTTTTGCAGGAGTTTGGCTGAGAGGCCAAACAAGCAGGGAATAAGGAAGAAGGGAAAGTCATAGTAACAGTGATCTACCCTGGCTAGCCCATGAAAACCCACAGAGGGGAAAAATAAAAAATAAATAAATAAATAAATAAATAAATAAAAAACAATGTCCACAAAGATATAGGGGAGAGCATTTGAAATAATGGAATGAAATAATGGATTTGTGCTCAGGGAAGGCAGTTGCTTTGGCAAACGAGAGCACAATATTCATATTATGTTTAAAGTTGCTTATCTGGAAGGTGTGCTAGCCCCAAGAAAAGTCTGATAATTCTTACTCTTCAGATAAACTCTTGTTTTCCCAGCTTTGAAGATGTTTTTTAAAGTTGACACTTTTTTTAATGCAGAAAATGTGTCACTAGCCTTGGACTGTGCAGCTTTCTCAGCAGGAGAGATTTCTGAAGAGAAAGGACCACTTGGAGACTGATTTGACAGGCAAATTTACTGTATAAAATTAATAGCAGCTGTTTGAAGCTGCTCATGTGTCTGAAACATTAAAAATCCCACAGCTGAATTTTTGATCTGGGAGCATAGAAGATCAAGGAGCATTGCACTTTTGCCATATGGTTCTATAGTGTAGGGCATAGCCACTTACTTCCATGTGTGCATTTCGAACCCTAATTCATAAGTTAACCGCACTCATTTTTCCAGATCTTCTGGAAATAATTTTGGAAGCTGCTACAAGTATTCTGCTACACCAACCCCAACCCCATGTCTCCCTACCATATGCAAACAGGTGTCCTCTCTTCACCTTTTGTCATCTACAATTAATATATTTCATCGTATCATAGATAAAGACAGTATTTCACTGTGCTTTTCCCAGCTGTTTTTTGAAATGAAAAGACTTAATTAAAAAGAATCTGTTAACATTATAAATTTTTAGTGAAAGTAACAGTAAGAACCATGGGCAATTTGCAGAGGTACTGTGCAGATCTCTCCTGTAGACAGCAACACCCTTATATACTATACACGCACATAGGGGCAGATGTTAGCTCTACTGTGAGCCTCGAAGCTGCACTGCTTCTTAATATAAAGTGATATAGCATTAAAAAAATGAGTTCTTTCATCTTGTATTTCTTTAGTAGATTCTTTTATTGTGGTGATAAATTTGGAACAATGAGATTATTTGATTAAACTTTCTCAGTCACTGCTGAATGGACTATCCTGCTTGTAGAATTAATAAAAAGGCCAAGACACCTCATTAACATGCTTGGTATTGAGCTGGATTGGCAGCGGTGCAGTTTAATCCTGCCAAAGGGCATTTGCTGAGAAAAGTCAGAGAGCTTTTAAATCATATTCTTAAAGGTTGAGTCAGGAGAAGATGACCTTGCAAAATCTGTAGTCCTGAACTGTCCAGACTTCCCCCTCCTGCCCATTCATGCTAGAGCTGCTTTCTGCACAGAACAATATGTTAAATAACATGGCTTCTCCTTGTGTAATTCAATGCATCAAGGTTGATTTTGCTGTGCATGCTGATTGGGAACCTAGATACAAAAGCTTAGTTTGTAAAAAGCCTCATACACTAGCATCCTCTAGCATTTTTCTTTGGTAGCTGAAAGTACACTAGCATCACCTGTTGGTCTAAAGGTAAGTTTTAATTTACAATAATTGATACAGACCCACCACAGCACTTTCACTAATGCCTCACATTCTGTATAAGCAATTGGAGCTCAGAAAGACATGGAGAAAGTGGATGGAAAGCACCAGTTGTGCACGATCACGCCTATCAAAACATCACAAAGATCAAGATTAATGTCATCATTGCTGTTTAAAATCATACATGTATGGCCCACATAACTACAGAAAGTTATATGGTCAAGTAAATTGCATTATAATTCTCATACACAACAGCCTATAAAACAGATCTCAAACTTTTGTTCTGGAAACACTGTTTAGATTATTTACTTAAACATGTAGAGTGAATTTCCCAGGTAAATAAAACATTCTTTACAATTGGTTGTCCAAATGGAAATAGGTGTTTTGTATGTAGACACCAGCATCTGCATTTCTCAACAGAAATGGGAAGTGCTCAAGCAAACTAGTTTCAAGTCATTAAAATTTAAGGCAAAGTTATCCACCAAGCTCAATTAATCTGATTTATTTCATGCTGGTGAAACTTCACCAGCTTAATGGAGTTGCCTCCAATGTATAGCTTCTGAATTCACAGGTAGGCTCTCATTTAGAAGAGTGGCATGATTTTTATAATCAATCATTTAATCATATTTTCAAAAGAAATGTGACTGCAAGAAAAATTTATTGCAAGTATCTTAACTTCCTCTGATTTTGCTTAAGATGAGCACATTAAAACTTCTTAAAAGTCAGTAGATCCTGGTGTTCCTTTGTTGGTAATGTTTCTTTTAAAGTACATTTTTATATTCCATTTTCTAGGCTGCCTTTATTGGTTTTGAGCTAAAGGTTTTCCTTTATATATAAGTTTTCCTTTGTTGGCCCATGAAAAATTCCTATTCTAGTAAAAATAGGTGAATGTGAGAAAATCCAGCAAAACCAAATAAAGCCGTATTAGCAATGTGATAAACAGGAGGCAGTACATGGACGGCAAGCTAAAACCATATATGAAGGTAAGGAAGAGATCACACTATGCTTAGATATCTTTATTAGGAAAAGGACACTCACCTTGACTGCCTTGAAATATAAACATTGTCCTTGAAATAGTAATCCAGAGACGAAAATCACAAAAAGGTTTCCTAGGCTGTAGGATTCCGTGGCACTTCAGGAAATGAGAGTGCTATGTGAGACTGAGGACCTGTGAGAAAGACTAGAGGAGAGAAACATTATTCACGCCACTGTGGGTTTTTTAATTGAGTATTTGGCCATAAAGATAAGCAAAAATGCTAACCTTGAGATTCTTTTGTTAGGATCTGTAGTAAATAGAAAAAACAAGGATATTGCAAACTTCCCAAATAGGATTTTTTTTAAAAGGCTTGCAGAAATATCAATTTTAGTTGTATCAAATAGCTAAAGAAAGAAAAATTAGAATAATTAATTTTTATTTTCTTTTTTTCTCCTGCTACACAACATACGGATGAAGCAGTTGAGGTTTCACACATTAAAAAGTTGAAAAACAGCAACGTTTTATGCTTTACTGTGCACTGAAGAGGTAATTTGCGCCCTTTGTATCTCACATGGGATTTTTATATTGCCTTCAACGTATTTCTTGAAAACATTGAAAGGGAATTAAAATAGCCCCTATAAAACACAGCCATTATTACTGTATGAACACTGAGCTGCAGATAGTGTTTTGACATCCTCCGGTACTCACACACATATATACGTAGAGTTTTAACTCTCAGCTGCTACTAAAATTAATGTCTCGTAACCTTAAA